AGAGTAGGCCAACTAGCCATGTATTGTTACATTGGGTGGTTATTTAACATTGTTTTCATTCTACTCAATAGATAACCAAATACAGGAGAGGTGTCTGAATCCAAATGTCACAGAACAAATCCCTTTAATAAAAGGATTTCTTCTATAAAATTTGGACTCAGTCAAAAGGTTGCACCCAGGTTCCCTACACTTGCCTTAGACAAATACTTTGATTCTCTGGGCACTGGTTTCCTCATTTGATGCTCACAACAACCCTGGAAAATGCTATTATTGTCCCCATTTTACAGACGAGAAAAGTGAGGCAAACAAAGGTTAAATGATTTATCCTGGGTCACACAGCCTATCAGATCCTGAGGTCACATTTGAACTCAGATCATCCGGCCTCCAAAACTAGGGCTGTATTCACTATGGTACCTACCAGCCCCAAATTCTCAAGACAACCTATAGTAATACAGCTATTCAAAATACTGCCAGGTCTCACTGTATATTTATAATGCAGTAATCAAAAAATTTTGTTACTAGTTGAAAAACAAAAAAATAGAACAAAGTATCAGACTAGGTAAGCAAGAAACAGAAGCACTTAAAATTGAACCCAGTTTTTGACAGATTCAAAACCATAAATTACTGAGAGACTCCCAATTTGACAAGAAGTTTTGGTAAACTGCGAAGCAATTTGGCAGAAATTAGGTTTAGATCATCATCCTATATTACCCTACACAAAGCTCAAAAAATGGATACAGGACATGAATATAAAACAAAAAGAAACTGAAGAAAATAAAATCATATACCTTGCACAACTTTACCTAGGAGAGAATTTTTCACTAAATAAATGAGTGATGGAGGAGATCATAAATGATAAAACAGACAAGAAACTGAGGCAGAGGTTATATGATTTGCCCAAAAAAACCAAGACATACAAAATATACACAAACTGCCACAAATATATTTGAGATCAAGAGCAATCACCTAATAGATAAGGAAGTTTTCAAAATAACTAAAAAGTATCAATGTCCACATACAAAACATGTTCCAAATCACTGATAATAACAGAAATGCAAATTAAAATAATTCTAAAGTTTTATTTCACTCTATGAAAACTGGCAAAGATAGTAAGGGATAACCACAGTCATTGTTGAAAGGACTGAGGGATAATGGAAAGATGAGAGGAAGGAAGGAGGGGAAGGAGGGGAGGGAGGAAGGAAGGAAGGAAGGAAGGAAGAAGGAAGGAAGGAAGGAAGGAAGGAAGGAAGGAAGGAAAGTGAAAACAGTCAAGTCAATAAACATTTATTAAGCACCTACTATGTGCCAGGCACTAGGAGCAGTGCTTTATACATATTATTTCATTTCCTCCTCAAAACAATTCTGTGAAATGTATGCTATTTTTTTTAACTATTCTGAAGATAAGGAAACTGAGGCTAACAGAAATTAAATTACTTTCCCCAGCTCACACAGGTAGTAAGTATCTAAGGCAGGATTCAAACTCAGGGCTTCTTTATTCCAAGTCCATTACTTTATCCATTATGGCACATAAGCTATTAAAACCCTAATGCTGGGAAAATAAGACACTTTGCACATAAAAAGAGGTCAAAGGCCCTTGTTTGGAAATCAGATCCACAAATAATTTCCAGAGATCCTCCCAAATTTCATAGAATTTTTGTGTAAACCATTCCTGTCCCATGGGAGATTTCTTCAGATGAAAACAGCCAATTCTGTGGGAAAGCACCAAAAATACAATTGTCTATAGAAATCACAAAAACTAAATATATTGCAAGATGCTTCTTAAATGTTAGCCTGCTGGCCTCTGGGAGATTTTAGATAATCAAGTGTCTGGCAAGATATCAACTGCCTCCTAACACTGAGTCTCAATCTGCAATAATAATGGCTCACATTTGTATAGGCCTTTAAGGATTACAGGGTGATTTCCTCATATCTGTGTGAGGCAGGTAGTCTAAATATTATAAATTTTATATTTTACAAATAAAGGAATTGGAGATCAGAGAAATTAAGTGATTTGCCCATTGTTTCACAGCTTATAAGTCCCTGAGTTGGGAATACCCCTGATATGGAACTAGTTTTACTGTACAGTTAGTATATTCTGACAGCCTTTAGTCTTGAAGTAAGACATTCTGCCACAATATCTTAATGAGAGCTGAAAACCATTAAGCATCCTAAAGTTAAGCTTTCATACTCAGTTATAATGCCTAATAAATTTTTTCTTTTTTACAACAAAAGGGAAAAAATGGGGGCTCACTGGTGCTATCACCTAAGCATCTTGTCCTTCTCCCTAGTATCTTCTTGCTTATTGGCTGTGAAGGACATCTCCTCTGGGACACTCAGACTAACTAACTCCATCTCAGATTTCACCCCTGGAGTATAAGGAAAACTTTCACCAAATGAAGTTCTTTGTGCCTTCAGCAAGCTATTTCAGTTCTCTGGTCTTCCTTTTGCTCATCTGTAAAATGAACAAGTGGATTAGATCAAGAATCCTTAACCTGAAGTCACTGAATTCATTTAAAAAAATTTTGATAACTGCATTTCATATCGTTGGTTTCCTTTGTGATCTTATGCATTTTATTTTGTGCCTCTAGAAACACTATTGGGAGAAAGAGTTCATAGGTTTCATCAGACCGACAAAAGGGACCACAACAAAAAAAATTTAAGAATCTCTGGATCCAGTGATCATTCCAATCCATTTCAATTCTATCCTTCTATGATCTCTGATCCCCAAAAAATTGGTAGGGAAAAAAGTACAATCATTTATTGGGAAAGCCTTGCTTTTCTCCTCATCTCTCACAGAGGTTCATATCTAAAGCATTATTTTATTATCTAACAGAAAACTAAGCAACCCCATCTCTCTAACTTCATCTCATTACAACTAAACAGACATGGGACTGTGGAAAGATTTTCCCTTTCTATTATTCTCTCAGTCATTATCACTGAAGGTAACTGTTAAACTGTGGTGCTTTTCTCAAGAGGAAGCAGTTCCTGTTTTTGAAGTCATTACTGGATTGGGGAATTTGATCTGTTCTTCCCATTTTTTTTTTTTGTGACAGAGGCATTTGTTAGCTTTTTAACAAAGCAAACTGGGGGTAAAGGATGGGGAGAAAGAATGAAGGAGACTGCAAAGTGTAAGGAAGTCACATATGTCTGATGTACTCACATTTAAGCAAAAGTTTTCAGCCCAAAATAAAAAGGGTCTACTATATTTTATTTTACTTTAATATATGAGCTAATCAAAGCTTTCCTTTCCCCTATTTTTCAGCAACAGAAACCAACAATGGTTTATGTGTTTTAAAGCTTATGTAGGAAAACTGATACAGAGCAAAGACCATTTGTCATCTGTTTTCTTTTTCCATTTTCTCCATTTTGCATAGGGAAAAATGAGTTCTGAGCCTGTCTCAATTCCCAGGAAAGAGCAAATAAAAATGTCTTGAATTTAAATGCTGCCATTCTTAATGTGACTTCCATATTCTCATTAACCAAGCATCTGTTTGATGAGTGCTCCCTTTTTACATGATCCGCTCTAGACATCAGAATAATTTCCATGACAATAGCTCACAATGACGGCCCAAAGTTCAAGAGAAAGAAAAGTAAGTTGGAATTCGAAAAGGAAGAGAAGAATATCATGAGAATATTTCTTCTAAAACATAAGCTAACAAAAGATGAGTGCAATTAATAATGGCATTTTAAGAGATAAGAGGATGATATTAATGATGACAGTGCTTATGAAATTATTTTGGCCACGAAACACCTCCAGGCTCATAAATGCTGGTCCTAGATCTTAGGGGCTTGGGACACTCAGGATAAAGAGGACTTTAGGAAATTCTGGGACTAAGTTGAGAAAGCTAAGCTTGTTTTTATATGGGAAAAAAAAACCTATCCCATAGTAAATTTTTTTGGTATCGAATATCATAGCATATATCATGTTTTAAAGGGAGAAATATTACTAGTCTTGAAATATTCTCCCCAAATCCCCTTCACGTAATAGAGGACAGGAGATTTCTCTAGGAAACAGTTTGGGAAAGACTGGTTTCTGACACTGGTAATTATACTGGTTAATTTTCCTTAATGAAAACCTTGCATCTTGAGAAAATGCAACAGAGAAAATTAAACCCTAATGAGGAAGGGGACAGAAAACACAAAACTTTTCACCCTGCAAAACAGGGCAAACACAACAGAGAAAAACCAAACTCTGTTGAGGAAAGTAACAAGAAATACACAGGAAAGCTGATGAATTCAGAAACATTTGTTTAACTTTGCTTTGAAGGATGAGCATGTTTTGCATGCTTAGGAAATTACTACTTAATAGTTGGGATGGTGAATGAACCTAGGCTATGAACAGCACAGCATATACTGTGGACAGATTAATTTTAGGTCTCTTGTCTGAAAAGGCATAATGAGTATTCAACAGAATGGGGGTGGTGATTAGATTGTCTACTCACCTCCTGACTCCAATTGTGAATAAGTACTATGACTCTGCTGATACAGAAAAAAAAAACCAATCAAAATAACACTACTTCATTCTCATTGCATGGGCCCTGGAGATCTAGAACTGGATTTATATTTCTTTAATGGTACTATAATGAACAGCTCTGGTTGTTTTGTTTTTTTTCTTTTTAATGGCAATAAGGAGGTAGAGGAAAGGCTGGATAGACAGTTCTTTATTTCTCCAGAATGCTGACTTCCTGGTCTTTTTCATTACTACACAGATCACTGGGATACAATACTTGGCAAGAAGTACTGACAGGCTAATATCTATAATAGCAGGAAATGAACTGCAACTAACAGATCAACAAAGACATGCACAGGGCTTAATGGCTGTAATTTAAAAAAAAAAGGGATCAAGCTTCTAGGAAACTTGAAAAGATCAAATTCTAACATCATACCATTGCTATCCAGCATGTAAAGTAATATCTAGGAACTGCAGTAATATTTCAGAGCAGTGGAATAGAAGAACACTCCAACCATAATGTCACCTAAGACATCATATTTGGACTTACCTACACTGGTAGGAAATATATCTTCATTATTGATCTGTACCTCAATCCAGTCCATGAGAAGGTTCATATATTGGGGGGCTGGCAATGCAGTAGGTTTCTTGTACTTAAGGTCATCCTGCCACCGGTACTCATATTTTGGGCCCCCAGACATCACAGGACAGGTCCTCTCAGTGCAGAACTCACAGATCGTGCCATAGATCAAGTTGATACGGTTGAAGAAGTCTACTACGTGAACAGCAACCCAGTCATTCTGGTCTTCCCCACTGGGTAGCTGCACTGCTGCCTTCAGGTCCACCCCAGAGTTCAGAGAGGCCTGTGCCCTTTTGTGGAGCTCAAACCTTTGTGTACCAGGTTCAAATTTTCGCTTAGGCCGAAAGGTCTTGTCTTTATTGAAAACCTGCTTTAGGGCTATTGACATTGTCTTGTTGTCCTCTTCTCTTCTTTTGCAGGAGGCAAAAAGGCACCAAGAGCTTTTTGGTGATATATCACAGCTTAGGAGGGTTTTCCACTGCCAGCCCTCAGGCCCCAGTGTTGCAGCCACGGTTCCCAGTCTCTTTTAAATGGTTCCCTCGCTCTTCCTTTTGAATGTTTTCAAAAGAGACTTCATGTTCCCGAAGCTAGAAGGGAAAAATATATATGTGAGTGCCTGGTTTGCATTCAATCCACTTCACTACCATGTGGTATTAAAGGTGAGCTAGTCACATTCCTAGCTGACTAGACCTTCATCCACCAAATGAAGAATATTAATGGGCTGGAAGTACCAATCTGTGAATCTATGTTATTTGTTCAAGCTGGCAAAAAACAAACACAAAAACCTCACATGTTCATAGACTAACATACTTGAATAAGTGTCAAAAGTCTCTGCTAGATTTTACCAATATAGGCATAATCTAAAGACATTTCTCAAAATAATGTCTATCAATGGATTGTATGTTACACTTCATATGGAAAGATGACTCTACAAATCATAAGCAGTGCATTCAACTTGAGCTGTTCTTTCTTCATTGGGAATGCATTTGTGCTCTTACCATTTTCTTACATGGTCTACCCTTGTGACCAGTAGCAGGCTTCATTAAGTCAGCAGTGTAGTCTGTAACCATTAAACAGGGAGAACATAACTGATTTGCTTAAGGAATCAAACTTTTGCCTTATTAACATGGTGTTAAAATTCAAAAAAGCCGAAAGTCCCAGGTTCCTGTCTGTGTCATTGATCCTGTAGTAAAGTAGAGCATTGTAAAGTGCACTGGAAAAAACATGGACAATGACTACAATGATGTAAATAGAAACAAAAATTACCACAAAACAACTGAAAGTAAATGTTTGTTAAAATTATCAAGAAGCAAACATGACCAGAGAAAAGATAAGAGAAGAAACCTCCTCCAACTTATTTGCAGACATGAGATTACTAGGGGTGTGGAACATTGCATTACTTTCAGATATTTTTTTTTTATGTGTTGACTTCACTGATTTTTTTCTCTTTTTTATCTCTTAAAAAAAGTCTTTGTTATACGAGATGACTCTCTGGGAAGAGGGAATTGAAGGAATATAGGGAGATAGTTAAGTAAGAGCAAAAGATATCAACAAAATTTTATTTTTTTAAAGGATCACTAGCTAAGATAGATGGCTTGGATTCATATTCTACCCTCATATCTACTCTTATCCATGTGGTCTTAGACAACTCACTTATCTTCCCTCATCCTCAATTTCTTTATTTATAAAATAAGGAGGTTGGGGTAGATGATTTTCAAGGCCCTGTTCAGCTTTAAATCTTGACATTATTGTATTATTCTTAACAATATGTGAAAAGGATTATGTCAATACAATATCTAAATAGTTTTTAAATTTTTTGCCCATTAAAATGTTAACTGCTGGACTATTTTTTTTTTACTTCTATCTTTCTAGCCTAATGCTAGAATAGAGTCTTACACATAGTAAGGGCTTGTTGAAATGAATTGAAGTTAAGATGAAATCAGAATATCTACTTCCTGTTTCACTAAATAACATTATAGGGGAAAGGGTTCTAAAGTGGTTGCATGAAACTGAAAAGCTTTCACACAAACGAAATCAATGTAGCTTGAATAAGAGGGAAAATCACTGACAGAGAAAAAAATCTTTCATCAAAAATCTCTGACAAGGGTCTGACCCACCACATAAGGAATTAATAAAAAAAAAAAACTATGGAGTCATTCTCCAGTGATTTACTGGTTAGATATGAACAAATAGTTTCAAAAAAAGAACTGCAAATAATTCATAATAAATATAAAATAATGCTAGAAATTATTAATCAAAACAGAAATGCAGCAAAGCACCTCTGAAGTTTCATTTTACAATGAGTACACTGGCAAAGATAAGAAAAGATGAAAAGTCAATGCAGGAGTGATTATGGAAAGATAGGTATATTATTAAATTGTTGGCTGTCAGTTGATCTGTGGATTTGTCTAAACATTCTGGAAAGCAATTTGGAATGATGCTTTAAAAAATGGAGAAAGGAGGTGGAAATAAGCATTTATGTAGCCACATCTTATGTGCCAAGCACTGACTAAACAATATCTCATTTGATAGGAGATACATCTACCCTGGGAGGTAGATATTATTATCCCCATTTTACAGTTGAAGAAATTGAGGCAGACAGAGGTTAAGTGATTTGCCCAAGATTACAGAACTAGTGTTTGAGGCTAAATTTGAAGTCAGGTCTTTCTGACTCTAGGCCTGGTGCTCTATTCACTGTGCTACCTAGCTGCCAATATAAAATGATTATAATTTATGACAAAGAGATTTCTGCTAGGCATATACTCCAAGGAATTCAAAGGCAGAAGGTCCCAATTATATAATACTTAAGTGTACATAGTTGTACTTTTCATAGTAGGGAAGAAACAGAAATGAAGTAGGTGCCCATCAATTAGGAAATGACTAGGTTACAAGACTGCAATGGAATATTATGTCATAAAAATAGTATAAGGAATTCAGAAAAGCATGGAAAGACATATGAACTGATGCAGAGTGGAGTAAGCAGAGCAAGGAAAACAATATACCCAATGTCTACAGTGAAGAAATAGAATGAATGAAAACACAAAACTAAATGCTGTGTAGTTATGATGATCAGACTTGACTTCAGAGAAGAGAAAATACACCTCACTGCAGAGATGGGGGACTATGAGTATAGAATATCGTATATTCTCAATTCCCTATATATTTTAGAAATGAGACCCTTATCAGAGAGACTGGTTGTAAAAATTCTTTCCCAATTTTCCACTTTCCTCCTAATCTTGGTTGCATTGGCTTTGTTTGTGCAAAAACTTTTCAATTTAATGTAATCAAAGTTACCCATTTTGCTTTTCGTAATGTTCTCTATCTCCTGTTTGGTCATGAATTCTTCTGTTCTCCATAAATCTGACAGGTAAACTATTCTTTGCTCTCCCAGTTTGCTTACAGTATCAGCCTTTATATCTAAATCATGAGCCCATTTTGACTTTATTTTGGTATGTGGTATAAGATATTGATCTATGCCTAGTTTCTGCCATACTCTTTTCCAGTTTTCCCAGCAGTTTTTGTCAAAGAGTAAGTTCTTCTCCCAGAAGCTGGGGTCTTTGGGTTTACCAAATAACAGATTATTATAGTCACTGACTACTGTGTCTTGCATACTTAACCTATTCCACTGATCCACCACTCTACTTCTTAGCCAGTACCAAGCAGTTTTGATGCAATATGGTATATTCTGTCAGCCTTGATAGTTGTACTGATTAGTTTTGATAAGGTGCCTTTTGTTATTGTTGTTATAAGGGATGTCTTGCTGAGTATAGGAGGGGAAGGAATATAAATATAATATAAAAAAGGTGTCAATAAAAAATATAAAACTAATTAAAAGAAAAGTAGCATGTCTTAAAAGCCAACCTTTTTAACAGACAGTTCCTAGAAGACAGGTATATATTTCTATTCCCATTTTAGCAAGGTGCCTGGCACATAGTAAATTCCTAATGAATGCTTATTTAATCTAATCTAATTCTAAGCTCAACAGGAGGAAATTTCTACAACTACAGCCTTCTTGAAAAAAAAAAATAATCAACAGCCCTGGCTGGTCCCAAGACATGCACGGTGACACAATTAATTGGAATGTGCAAAGCCTAGGTGAAGACAGCAATACTTCAAAATGTTTTATGTTTTAAATATCAGACTTCTATGGTGGAGCTATGAAATGATCCAACCATTTTGGAGAACAATTGGGAACTATGCCCAAAGGGCTACAAAAATGTGCATACTCTTTGATCCAGCAATAGCACTTCCAGGGCTATATCCCAAAGAGATCAAACAAATGGGAAAGGGACCCACATGTACAAAAATATTTATAGCAGCTCTTTTTGTGGTGGCAAAGAATTGGAAATTGAGAGGAGGCCCATCAATTGGGGAATGGCTGAGCAAGTTGTAGTATATGAATGTAATGAAATACTATTGCACTATAAGAAATGATGAACAGGCTGACTTCAGAAAAACCTGGAAAGACTTATGTGGTCTGATGCTGAGTGAAGTGAGCAGAACCAAGAGGACTTTGTACACAATAACAGCCACATTACACAATGACTAATATTGTTAAACTGAACCCTTCTCAGCATTACAAGGATCTAAGACATCTCCAGAGGCCTCGGGATGGAAAATGCTGTCCACATCCAAAGAAAGAACTATGGAAATCGAATCGCTATCACTTATTTTTACCTTCTGTTGAGTTTTGTTTCATCTTTCTGATGGTTCCTCCTATTGGTTTTAATTTTTACTTACAACTTCACTAATGTGAAAATATGTTTAATGGGTATGTAAATGTAAAGCCTATATCAGATTGTGACCATCTTGGAGGGGGGGGGAAGAAGGGGGAGAAAAATTTTCAACTCAAAAGCATATGGAAGTGATTGTTGATAAATCAAAACAAATTAATAAAATTTAAAAAAAAAATAATATCAAACTTCTAGAATAGCATAATAGGTTTCCTAATCTTGTTTTAAATTTCTGTCAATGACAGTTTATGAGTTTTGGAGTTTAAGCATTTTCTTTTGCAGTTGAGGAAATTAATGGCTACCCTACATCTTCTCTACCTTATACACTGTGGACCTTTCAAATAATCTCTTTTGGGAACCTAAGCTCTGAGTGTTTCACCAGGGCACTGGGATAAGGGCATAGAAAGCCAGTGACAAGAAGGAGCCTATCATTAGAAGCCAGCTCCCTCAGGAAAGAACCTGGTTCACTTGAGCCAAGAGTCCTGGGGCCCTGGGATGGAAGAGGGCCCTACTTCTCTCTTGGCCCAGTCTGATCGTTTGCTACTTATAGTTACTGCAGGTAGAGTATTAACAATTAGGGGAAATCCAGAAAAGCCTGTATGAGGTAGCACTCCCAGGACCTAAGGACATTTTTTTTTCATTTGCAAGTTTTTTCAGGGTTAGGGAGAAAACTTCTGCGTGTAAAGAGATGAAGAGCTAAACAACACTTTTTTCACCTACCAATTATGACACTGACTTTAAAATGGTATTTTGTGGGTGCTGGTAATTATAGTCTATAGATTCTTCCTAGTTCAGCTGTGACAGCTGAAAAAGCAAATATCTAAATAAACCAAACTCAGAAAACAGACTTCTAA